AAAATTTGATTTATATGCCGCCCTTCTCCGGAGACTCAGGGTGGCTTACAATGCGTTAAGCAATAGCCTTCATACTTTTGTATATTTTACAAAGTCAGCTTATTGCCCCACAAACTGGGTCCTTAGAGAGGATGAAAGGCTGAGTCAACCTTGAGCCTGGCAAGATTCGAACTTACTAATTGCAGACAGCTGGAGTTAAATTACAATGCATTAGTCTGCTGAGCTATCCAGGCTCCTGGATTTTGTCATTTTGATCCTGCCCTTCTCTATCTGACGTCCTTCTTTACCCAGATATTTGTTCTACACCAACCAACTGTACTTTTTAGACTGCCTTTGCCAAGGAATTTAAGGTTGGCACTTTCAGAATTGTTTTCTGACTTGTTTTTTTTACTTTATGGGTGATTGCTTTATTACTGATTTATTTTTTTGCAGCAGGCTTTTCTTTTTTTTAACGGTTCCTTTTTTCCCCCTTGTATACTATTCAGGGTTTCTTTGAGCAGAACAGAAAAATCAACCTTCATCGTCATCAATCTTTTTAGGGTATTAAGAGAAGGAAAGACATTTTAACGGCTGTGCCTTTCGCAATTGGAACAATCTAACAAGCAGGAGGTGGACTTCAAACATTTTAGCAAGAGGTTCCTGAACTTCCAGTAGGCCTGTTTTTCACCCTCCCTGAACCTCCACGCGTGCCCTGCACTTACTTGCATCCAAAATGGGCTGTGTGGGGACTCCTGGGAGGGGAGTGGCAGGGTGGGCGGGGCCAGCCAGGTGTGGGAATTGGGGGTTCTCCAAACTGCACAGAATCTTAGCTAGAGGTTTCCCAAACCCCTGTGAACCCCCAGCAGCCCATCCCTGATTACAAGGCAATGTAATCAGGGATTATATTGTATGATTATTTACACCCTGGCTCTATAGTCAATTGGACCCTTTATCTAAACTTGAACAAATGGTTAGCTTGCTGTTATCTGTTCTCCAATAATTCATTATTTACCCGAAGTGAAAAGATTCTATAATAATTCAGCTACCAGCATGCTGATTTAATGAGTAAGTTTGAATGTACGTATTTCAAAATCTATTAAATGGGAGATAATGATGACTTTTAAAAAAAATTGCAAGCAAGTCTTGGCATTGCTTCCCCAGAATAAAGGTTATTTACTTAATGCAATGTCATCAAGTCATACAAAAATAGCATCATATCTATTTAAAGATAAAGTGTTCCTATGCCGTTCGGCAACTGAATTTAGAGGGGCAGGAAGTTTCAGAAAAGAAACTGATCGGAGGGGAGAGTTAAGGATTATTTAGCATGGTGGTTCAATGGCTAAGACACTGAGCTTGTTGATTGAAAGATCTGCAGTTCAGCAGTTCGAATCCCTAGTACCGCGTAACGGGGTGAGCTCCTGTTCCTTGTCCCAGCTTCTGTCAACCTAGCAGTTCGAAAGCATGTAAAAAATGCAAGTAGAAAAATAGGGACCACCTTTGGTGGGAAGGGAACAGTGCTCTGTGTACCTTTGGCATTTAGTCATGCCGGCCACATGACCATGAAGACATCTTCGGACAGCGCTGGCTCTTCGGCTTTGAAACAGAGATGAGCACCACTCCCTAGAGTCGGGAACGACTAGCACATATGTTACTTAAGCTCTAAAAATGCAAGGCTATGCTGCTTTCACACAGTTATAAGTTACTTCATTGCCATTTTTAATGGCACTTTGAATAATTAAAGGGAGGAGGGGTCCGATCCATGTTTTATGCAAAAAAAGTCCAAAGTAGAGCATGAATACAGATGGCTGTCCTATCCCTCTTTTTTGCTAAGATCTTTGATCTCTCCAGATAATTGGTTCTGTTACTGAGGTGGCCTGAGCCTAAATTTCTTCTAAATTCTAAATGAAATATATGCTCTCTCTAACATACAATTACTAGGTGTAAACCCATTTACTGGAAACAAGATCTTTGGTTTTATATGTAGCATTGATTCAGCATCAATGAAACTTTCTCTTTATGTTTTTCATCAGCCTGGTTTCCTCCTGCATCAATATACTAAATTCTTTAATTTTTCATTGTTGGTTGTTTCCTGAGTCACTACTCAGGAAACAACCAACAATGAAAAATTAAAGAAGGTCCACCAGCAGCCTGCGGAGCTGGCAGCAGAGTCTGACAGTGAGGAGGCTGGGGAGGAACATGGGCCAGTCCTGGAGTCTGGGGAAGGCTCGGATGAGGGCTCTGCATTGGAGGCAGAGATGGGGCCAGGGCAATCTGGGAGTGATGCATGGACTCCGGAGCTCCCAGAGTCGGACTGCAGAGAGGCAGAGGAACAGGAGGAGCCTGTTCCTAGTGCACGCATATGCAGAGTTGCCAGAAGGCAAGAGCAGCTAAAGAAAAAGGGATGACTTGGGAGTAAGGCCAGGAGATGATTGGCCCCTCCCATAAGGCTTAAAAGAGAAACAAAGGCACTTGGGCCATTTTTCAGGAAAGCAACGTTGCTAACTCTTTTTCCAGTCGGCGTCTCTTGTTTGTTTCTGATCTTCATGGGGCTTTGCCAAGAAAGTCCTTTGGCAGGGTGTCAAAGAAGATAAAGGTTAGTGATTATCCCAAAGGACTTCTTCCGAAGGACTTGTTTTGCAACTAATTGGGACTCAGCTGGGAATGAAGGTAATTCTCAGCTGTTACAATAAAAGAGGTTTATTTGGGACTAATTGTGTCTTGTCATGACTCAGTAGGCCTAGGTCACAACAAGTAGATTCTTTATGAAACTGCAATAATTTGTTACTAAAGCATAGTATCCAAAATCATCCGCAACATTCTAGATGTTCCCAAGTATTCCCAAGAATCCCCAGTATTCCGAGGACTTCAAAAGGATGGTTCTGCAGACTAAAAGTACATTACTACACAGTTCTATCACACTGTGATTCATAGTCAACAAACTCTAGGCTATTGATATAACTTTAAAATCTCCATCTCCTTCTTTGACATGGCCATTAGTGAAAACCATCGATTGTGAATAGCAGTTAAAATTTTTGAATACATAACTACAGTTCTCTTCCCTACCCCAAGCCTGATGTTGTTATTAACAGAGGATGAGCCTGAGAATAAATTTATCATTAGGGGACAAGCAAGCCACTAGACAGGCAAGCCACTAGAACAGTGACGGCGAACCTTTTAGACCCCAAGTGCCCAAACTGCGCACATGTGCATGCCCAAACGGAAAGGTGTGGGTGAACACGTGGAGATGTGCGAATGCATGCAACGCACGTGCACACATGCAGCAGAGACCTGAAGATCAGCTGGCCGGCAGGAGGTGGGGCATCCCAACACTGGCAGCACGGCAAGACGTAAGATCTTTTTCTTTTGTGAGCTTCTTTTTCGTTGTTTGCAGGAAAACAGAAACTCACGAAAGAAACACCACAGAGGTCTGACCTGGGGTGACGGCCATCTCTGCGTGCCATCTCTGGCATGCGTGCGATAGGTTCACCATCACGGCACTAGAATATAAACTGACAACAAACAGCACTCCTTATTAGCACTGATGATGCTACCTAGTTTGGGTAATGGAATATCTGCAAGAAAACAAGCAAGCTCAGAAAACACCAAGGATCCCTCATGTCAACCCTGAGCTACAAATATTCTCCTTTATTAGTAGGAGACATTTTAATGTGTTTTCAAATCTTGAATAAATTATGGTTTCAAAAAGGCTTTTCAGTTTGGTTTGCAATTCTATCTGGCCATTTCCATTATTATTATTATTATTATTATTATTATTATTATTATTATTATTATTTAATCTTTAGTGAGATTCACAGCCTTTGAGGCTGGTTAATAGCTCAGCAGCTCGAGTCCTAACCAAGGACCTAGGAACTGTTAAGGTATCGTCGGAGGATGTAAGCTGTTCCGAGTAAGGTGGTTTATTATTATATTATTATTATTATTATTATTATTATTATTATTATTGCAAACTATTTTGCAAATAGTTCCAGAAGTATACAAAAACGCATCTAAGAAAAAGAATCTATCCAGAAACTTTATCTTAGCTCCAGTTTCATTTCTTTAAACGTATGTAGTAACCTACTGAAGGTTGGAAGAGGCAAATAAATCAAAACAGAAACCTCAGAAAACTGCTGTGATTCTGAAATTGATGTTTATCATCGTTAAGTCGGAATTCAGAAGGAGCGTACCGTAGGACAGCAGCAAAATGTACAACTGGAAATAATTTCACTCCTTGTTAAATGTGAAGTCAATATTGCTTTGCCCGTGAAGAAATATACCATAATGTATACAAATAATCACTGTTATATCAAAAAGAGCAACAAATGTACTACAATATAAAAATCGCCTGAAATTTTTGCTAAGTGAAATAATCATTGTGTCTATAATCTGCTGTAATCCAATGTATCATACATATCTTTATAATCTCTATATTTCTCTATGTCTAATTCTCTCTCTCTATCTCTCTACACACACACATCTATCTATCTATCTATTATCTATCTATCTATCTATCTCATCTAGATGTCTTTATATTTCTCTATGTCTATGTCTAATTCTCTCTCTCTCTCTTTCTCATACACATCTATCTATCTATCTATCTCATCTAGATATTTTTATATTTCTCTGTTCTGTCTAATTCTCTCTCTCTTACACACACACATCTATCTATCATCTATCTATCTATCTATCTATCTATCTATCTATCTATCTATCTATCTCATCTAGATATTTTATATTTCTCTATGTCTATGTCTAATTCTCTCTATCTCTCTCTTACACACACACACATCTATCTATCTATCTATCATCTATCTATTTCATCTCATCTAGATATCTTGAAAACAAACATTGACCGTGTCATAAAAATTAAAGGCAAATGTTCATGGTAAAACAGAGAAGGACATTAAGAATATTAGCAAAACGAAGCCATGAACACAGTAAAAGATACAACTTCCAACTTTTCCCCATATTATCATTAATAATATTATTATTAAAGATGGGGTATAAATAAAAAAAATTACCTTCATTTTCCTTAATTGTAAAATTAGGGTTGTTGGCCATTTCAGATGGAAGGTTATAAACAAAATAGTGTCCATTTTTGGGATCATCCTTGTCAATTACTCTCATGGTATGAATGACCTAAAGCAGAAAACCAAACATATTTACATGTAAATCTGAAATGTTCACCATAATACTAGCTAGAAACTGACCAAAATTTGTGTACAGTAAGAGGAATACAAGACAATTTATCTCCTCTGATGTCAGAACTTTCTCTTATTAACTTTCAAAGCATATAACATTATCTTCGGGATCAGAGGATTTTTTTTCCTAAGAAAATGTGTTAAATCTTAATATGGGAGAGTCACAATAGTTCTTTTCGGGATAAATTTTTTTCTCTAAGGTGTTATTTTTCCAAGCTTTGGAGAATGATGGAGACAGGGAAATAGTGATACTAATTGGTCTTGATTTCAGGGGCAAAAGACATGCAAATGCTTAATTATCCTATGGATTTAAATGGTTCTCAGTTGACTTCAAAGTAATTCCTTTTGATATAAATAGAACTTCTTAAAGTGTTTTTAAGACTATCCTTAGGATGTGTAATTTGAGCTATATTATGTTGCATGTTAGAATATATTTAGTTAAGTTCTCTAGTTCTCTCTTTCTGGTCAGAAACAAAGCATTTATCCATTTTTTTTGTCCATGCTAAATTAGGACAGAAAAGTGAGGAATATACACTTCCCACCCATTATACTTTTGTGAATATTTAACTTGCAGTTTTAGTGTCTACATATATATACATTGTGTGTCTACATCATAGGCTAAATTTCACCCTGGCAACCCTTTAATCCAATTGCGTATTGATCAGCAAAAACATAAAGAGCAAAGATGATTGTGTGTTTTCCAGTATAGTTAAATTTGTCATGCCCACTTTGCAACCATGTACAATAACATACAGAAAGGGAAAATAAAACAAAACAAACAAAAATATGACTTGGGTATACCAGTAAGTATAATTCTGTTTGTTAAGCATAATGTTTCTTGATATGAACCTATTCCAGATATAGAAAAATTGAAACTATATTATATCATTTCATTGTTGAACACTTATTTTAGCTGTCGTTAGATTTTTAACTGCATTTTATCTTGGTTTTATTTTGGTTTCTTAGGAATTGTAGATAACAAAATCTAACAAGATTACTGAATTGCAAGCTTTTGTCATTCTTATCCAAAGTCTGTAAATCATTTAGGTGAGAAAACCAAACTTTAGTTGATTTCATGTTATTTGGGCCATGTAAAGATATATAGAAGCTTCTGTTTTATGAGGTTCACATATGCATTAGTACTTTAGATGCTACATGCCCAATAGCTGACTTATTGTCTGATCAATATATGATCAATATTTACGGGCCCGCAGATCTCTGTCTAGCGATCTTTTTGAAGAAAAAGTTTGGGAATCAGTAACGATATTACATTGTTACTGCAATGCTAATTTGGTTCATGGGGCAGATAAAAATAATGACAGAGAATTTTAAAAAAAACAGAACAAAATTATTTTTAATAACTCTAGTGGAATACAAAACAGAAATATATCAAAAACATCCTGGGATTTTTCTAACTCACATATAACTTGTGAAAGTGGAAGAAAATTGGTTTCCCTCCAGATTGTCCACAAGATGAACCTGAATATGTTTTCCCCAACTTCAAGGAGATCTTATTTCCCCTTTTTAGTGTTCTCTAATGTTGGGAAGGACAGGAAGAAATTCACTTAGCTCTGTACCAAGACTGATTTAAAATTTGTGTCATGGTGAGTTTATTGGGAGTCTGGACAGACTCACAATTCAACACTCAGAAAGCTTCTCATGATCTGCCTGTGGCATTCCTCAACCTGCCTTGTCACAAAGGTGCTTTTTTTCAAAAGGTAACTGGATTGCTTTTTACAATAGAATAGAATAACAGAGTTGGAAGGGACCTTGGAGGTCTTCTAGTCCAACCCCCTGCTTAGGCAGGAAACCCTACACCACTTCAGACAAATGGTTATCCAACATCTTCTTAAAATTTCCAATGTTGGAGCATCCACAACTTCTGGAGGCAAGTGGTTCCACTGATTAATTGTTCTAACTGTCAGGAAATTTCTCCTTAGTTCTAAGTTACTTCTCTCTTTGATTAGTTTCCACCCATTGCTTCTTGTCCTGCCCTCAGCTACTTTGGAGAATAGCTTGACTCCACGTTTTTGGGGCAGCCCCTGAGATATTGGAACACTGCTATCATGTCTCCTCTAGTCCTTCTTTTCATCAAACTAGACATACCCAGTTCCTTGAGGAGGAAGGAGAACATTTTTTGCTTTTCATCCAGCAATATGTAAGAAGCTTCATCGGTTCTGGCAGGATGATGGAGCGAAGGAGGGATTAGTTCTGATTACTTCATAGCCTGCACAGAACCGATAGAAGTTTTTCGGATGAAAAGCGAAACGTGTTTTTCTTCTTTCTCCAAGAAAAAAAACCCTGTCCATTTGCCTTTTGGAAAAAGGACCTAGAAGACAACTATGACCTGGATGATCTGAAAATCTCCACAGACACTCAACCTGCCTTGTTTTCCACTTCCCACTCATCCTGATGATAGCTATGAATCTTTCTGTGGGGACAAGGAGGATGAACTTCTGATTGTATTTGGGGGTTTATATTGAAGCCCTAAAGCCATGAGGTAGAACTCTTCTTTTCACCTTTGGGAGATATTTTTGTTTTATCCTACATCCCTGAGATACATCTATGGATCAGAGCAGTGGTAGGTTTCAAAATTTTTTACTATCGGTTCTGTGGGTGTGGCTTGGTGGGTGTGTCTTGGCAGGCGTGGAGGGGAAGGATACTGCAAAATCTCCATTCCCACCCCAATCCAGGGGAAGCTTTGCTTTAATGAAGGCATGAGCAAAACGTCTCTGGTGTCCCTTTACAAAACCCCATATTTTATCATTTCTAAGGATGGAATCCCATTGGCTGTGGATTGTTCCTTGATCAAAATGCCTAGTGAGTGCACAGACAGTACTAGGCCACAGTTGCTTTTATTGTACAGAGATAATCATATATGAAAAGGTAGGCCAGATACTTAAATAAATGCAATAATACCTCTATCCTTGAGAATCCTCTCTTTTCTTTTGCAAAACATTTGCAAAACAGAAAGACTGAATATGTTTTTCTGAATAAGTTTTTTTCCTGAAGAAGAAGAACTAGATGAACCTACAAAATGTCCTTCACATGTCAGAATTTCAAAAGTGATTCAAAATGTAGTTGAGATGCTCATCCACCCCCAATATGACGCATTGTATCATTAAGTGTGGGCAAACGCAGGTATCATAATGGTGAAAAATTATGGAACAGAAAAACAACACAATTTCTGTAGCGTCTTCCCCCAGTTCCAAGGCATAAATAAGTTCTAAGCTTTCAATGAGAAATTCAAAAGACATTTTCAAGTATTTTGAAAAGAAGGTACAAGTACTGAAGTCTCTTTCATGGGGTAGGGTGGGGCAATTTATTTTCAGAAATTTCAAGGCAAATTCCAGCATTGGATTAATTTCTGTACTGACAATGGTCTTTTCTTTGCAGTATATTCTCTCACACAGGGAAATATTTAAATCTTAATGGATTTAACCAATGTCACATTGTGAGTGATATTTTCCTAAAAAGCAAAGCAAAACAAAACAAAACAAAACATCCCTTTAAATAACAATGCAGCTTCTATTTTCAGTTTTCAGAGAATGGATTTACATTTTTCTTTCTTTCGTTAATTTGTAGAGGTTTACATGGTTGGTATCTGTTTCTGTTCTAGATACTCTTCTGATTTATGTCTCCTAAAGTAGCATTTTCAAAAAGACCAGCGTAATTGACTAGTGACAATGTGGTAAGTAATCTTCTTCTGTGTTTGAATTAGATTACCCATCAGAATTTGGGCATTCCCACCACCAGCCAACATATAGAAGAGGGTAGATGAGAAGAAGCAATGTTAAGCTTGAGAAGAGGGCATGGAATGGGTGGAAGGAGAGTTGGACAAGTGAAGAAGCCAGCAATTGGTTCAAGATCAAATAATACATAATTATTTTTTAAAGATTTATACTTTAGTATAGAACTGAGGATCTGCTAGCCTGATCAGGAGAATTTACACCATCATCTTTTTGCAGCAGTGAGAGCACCTCTTAATATTGCCTCCAAATTGAATTAGCTAAATGAAAAAGGGAATAAATCAGAAATAACCATAGTTACTGCACTTAAAATTTAATGTAAACTGAAAATTTGGGCTTGAGTCTCGCTCAATTCGCTCAATTCCTTGTTCCTCTACCACCCATTTTGGGGAAGTCAAACCCTACTCAAAAGCAAAATGTTTACATTCTTGCTGAATTGTAAGAGTTGTTCCAGTCAAAATCTGATATAGCAACTACGTTTTGTTTCCCACAATGGATGAATAGCTGCAAAGGTGATGGAGCTAACAGAGATGGCTAAATTGACTGCTTTGATTAAAGAAAGGGAAAAAAAAACACAATTACTTTTGTTTCTACTTGGAAACCACTTCTGGACTTCCAGAAGGAGGAGTGGGGGAAATGAAAACTTTGATTTTGGGTTTTACTGATTAGATAGTTTTGTTGTTATAGAAATGGCTAGTTTATACTATTATGCAAAAGCAATAATAGGTTTGATGCTATTATCTTATTCTACTGTATCAAAGGGAGTTGGAACTCGGTACCTTTTCTTTCTTTTCCCCCTTTTCCTTTCCTTTTACCTTTCCTATTTTCCTATTATCTTTTTTTGTATTTTATATTATAAACTAATTTTAAAAAATCTCATGTAGCAACTAACAGAAAAGGAGATTAGAGGATCTGTATTTGTCCTTCTGTAAGCTACCAAGGCTTGCTACAACAGCAAGATGGGTGGCATAAATATAAGCTTAATAAAGAATAAATGAATCTCTAGACATCAGAATGAGCATGTGTAGAACTCATCTTCTCCTTTATTGTGAGATAAAAATATTATATATCAAGCAGGCTCCCCCCAGTTTAAAGGAGTGCCATAATACATATTATTTGACATCCTTTAAGACAGAATTGAGTTGGGATAGAGTACAATGCCTTAGGAGATAAGAAATGATATTTTATA